ACATGATCAGGGGAGGGGCAGAGAATCCCAAGCGGGCTCTGCACGGTCAGTGTGTAGCCTGATGTGGGGCTTGACCTCACGAACTATGAGATCATGACCTGAGCCAAAATCAAGAGTTAGATGCTTAACCGACTGGGCCACCCAGGTGCCTCTTAAATGTCTTCTTTTAAAATTAAGTTTTAGTCATTTGTTGTTAGAGTAACAAAACGATGAACAAATGTTATGTCCTTCATTTCGTACAGAAATCACCACTGCTGAGTCACTACAAAATTAACCTAATGTGATTTATGTGTCGTAATAGACTGAAGTAAAAGCTTTGGTGACTAACTGGCAATAAAACAAAGGTTTTATGACCCTGCAAAGTATCTAAATGTTTGAGAACATGCACATGCAATGCCCCTTTTTAGCAGTAATAGATTCAGAGGGCTTTAGAAGGGCTTGTGTCTGAAAGAGTGTGCAAAGCCAGTTTATGTTCACTTGAGCCCTTGTCCAATCCTACTTTTAGACCTTGTACCAAGTACCCATGATATCCACTTTTTCTGCAAAACTATTCTAGACTATGTGTGGAGTCTTAGACCTACGGAATGGACAAAGCTTGGAAGCACTGGTTGGTGCATTAAGGTCCTCTAGGTATAGCATGGAGCTAGGAAAGGGAAAGGCAGTTGACAGGCTGGGTATTCTCTTTCCTCTTGTTGCCACATCCAGCTTGGAACTCCCAAGGCATTATGATAATCCTAAATCTGGCCTTCCAGGTTGATATGAAAGTATCTTGGTCAAATTAGGAGAATAGGATATATTTAATTAGCCAGTTTATTTATAACTTTTAAATATTTAGACAAATAGTATAATAGTCGCCATTTCTACTCTGACTTGTGAATATTAGGGTAGGCCTAGTTTTTCCTCTTATAATTATACACCACTGAATATTCAAATATTTAACCACAGTCCTCAGATGAATCACAACAGCAACTGGATGATCACAATGAGGTAGTGCAAATTTTCTATAACCAAGCTTTCCTGAAATCATATTCTCTCTCACATAAACCTGAAAAGATTATCACATTTTATAAAATACAAAAAAGTGAAATTATGGGAAGATTCTTTGATTAGCTATATCATAAAGGCAGAAACTGAAGCATTACATCTTATTACAAAGTTTGCATACTACTTATTTATTCAATTAAGAGTTTCTGAGAGTGAATGCTATCTACAGAATATAAAATATGAAGAGAAAAACTTACAAGAATAAACATATATTAATGATTGCCTAAATGTGGCCAAAGATAGTCAGTTAGTATAGGCTATAAAGCAGAGGACTTAAAAGCTGTTTTATCTGGCAATCTATCAAAGGGAAATTTCTTTCTTTTTTTTAAGTTTATTTATTTTTGAGAGAGAGAGAGAGAGAGAGGATGTCCACAGGGGAGGGGCAGAAAGAGGGAGAGAGCAAGAATCCTAAGCAGCCTCTGTGCTGTCAGCACAGAGCCTGATGCGGGGCTCGAATTCCTGAACCGTGAGATCATGACCTGAGCCAAAATCAAGAGTCGGATGCTTAATCCACTAAGCCACCCAGGTGCCCTGGGAAATTTCTAGCAATCAGCATTTATCACTAAGAAATGAAGATTCTTAGTGCTGACTCTAAGCACTTTAAAGTCCTGATGTTCTTCATCAGTAATCAATAAAAACAAACAAATGACAACAAAACCTCAGGACTGCAAAATCTTTCAGGCTACCCTGACCACATACATACACTTCTTTCTTCCCTTCCCACACAAATGACACACAAGTTCATTAGGAAGAACGTTCTGTACCAATTATGCCAGCTTTTGCTGCATGGGTAAGCTCCTCTTCACATAAAATATTAAATGCCACTATTTAGTAATTAGCATTTAGTAAAATGTGTTAACTACCATTATTTTTAAATAAAACTTTCTTGGATTTTTGAGAGCTTCCTAGAAAGAGAACAATTAAATATGTGGTCTGAGTATCTTCTCTTTCCTGTTTTTGTTGAAACCAATATATTATTTCTAAACTTTGCCTTTTTCTGTCTGAAAATTTTACTGCTGATCTTTTATTCTAACACAACTATTAACTTCATTAATATTATATATACTGTGGCATACTTTTGTAGCAGACTGGTGCATAATAAGCAATGCTGTGAAATCTAGACATATTTTTTAAAAGGGAGACACATTAAGTGAGAGAAAGTATTATCAAGACTAGTTACAACTCTGCCCTAGCTACTGTTTCCATTACTTTTTCTTGCCAGGGCTTTCTTTCCCCACCACCTTTATTCACTTTGTACCTCACTGAATCCTGAAGTATTTGGGAATAACATAAACAATAAACTTTTAAATATGGAAGAACTGCTAATTCTGACGTATGCCTGAGACTGGAACGAACTGAAGCAATGGTAAACATGGCAGAAATCAAGCCTAGGTCAATGGAACATGTGAAGAATTTTAATTAGCAAATTAAACTTTCCAAACTGTTCTCCCTACTTTTGCTAGGAAAAGGCTTCTCTTCTTCAGGCAACTAAATCAATGTAGGCAAAAAATTCCTAAGAGGGGCATGTGAGTGGCGCAGTTGGTTAAGAGTCCAACTTTGGCTCAGGTCATGATATCACAGTTCATGAGATCTCACAGTTCACAGCGCACTGGTCTGCTGTCAGTGCAGACCCGCTTCTGATCCTGTGTCCCCCTCTCCTTCTGCCCCTCCCCTGCTCTCTCTCTCAAAACTAAATAACCACTGAAAAAAAATTCTTAAGACACTTCTTACCCAGAGATCTTCTAACCTTTTAGGATTTCAATTGCTTTTATTGCTCTGGTTTCTAAAGCAACTATTTTACCTAAGTTCTTAAAATTATATTTAAAATACTTATTAACCAGCAGTCTTTGATATTTTTGACTACACAAATTAGAAAATGTTACAGGCATATAACTCTATTCGTGATTTTATCATTTATCAATCCAAGCCTATCTCTCACTTCTCCCGAAATGCATCCTATAAGCCAGACTGAGACTAAACTATTAGCAGTTACCCAAAGTTGTCACTTTGACCTTTCTGCACATAAAAGGTCCTTAATGAATGGCACTTATTACTAAGGAGTAATTTGTATGATATAATTTTGAAGAGTAGGACTTGAGAGCATTCCTAGCTTTTCTTTTTTTTTTTTTTTTTAAT